AGCAGCTCTTTGGTCCCTCTGCAGCAGCTCTTTGGTCCCTCTGCAGCGGCTCTTTCAAGCTTTGACCAAAACTTACATAAACCTGAATTTTACTGGTTGTTATACAAACAACAAAAAACGATTAGTTCAAACAGTTTTCCTGCCATTTCTTTTGCAAATATGTGAACATTGGAGCGAGTACAAGGAGTAAAACATACTTAACTTTATGCTTTCTATGAAGAACTGTCTGCATAGTTGATAGATTTTTTTTAAATGGTAAAAACTGAATTTTTCCCTTTTACAAGAATCTGGTCTTTTTCTTTAATAAATGTTAAAAGTCATTAGATAATTTTTTGCTTTAACATGTCACCCCTACTGGCCACAAATGTCCCCTCCAGCAAACTTAAAGTGTCTCCTGGGCCTCCAGTTGATGACCACCGTTGTAACAGATTTTTGCGGCTCCAGACACGTTTAATATCGTGAACGAAGACGTAAAAATGGCTGTTTTGATCATAAATGTTGTAGACCCCTGCTCTAAGTTTGTACATGTACAGCAAGGTAGGCTCTTAGTAACATCACTATCATAAACAGTCACATTATTGTTTTTTTTTCGTCCAGTTTGAGCTGTAAGTAGTAACTCATGTGTCAGTCCAAAAGTTTGACAAACTCCAGAATGTTATCTCTCAAGAAAATATTACTAACAAAAACCAAGGAGTGTTTGCTTCATTTAGGTTGATCTTAACTTGCTGCAAAATAAAAAGCAACAGAACCGATAAATATCCCCCAATATAAATAAATAAAATGTAAAACTCTTAAACTAGCATTTCAGTGGGCTAAGTGCTAACGTGCATCTTATTATGAATCTATCATCAATGACTGATATTAGTCCTTTGTAGTATTTTCCTCTACTTTTGTTCTGTCATAGTTGTTAGCAAAATGCAGTTAGATTAAATGTATGTCCACTTCTAGATGGCAGCAGTGATCGCCTGTGACTGTTACGTGTGATGTAGTTCATGTAACCGTTTCAAATGTTTGTACTGAATCATCACAGTACCAATTCACGCACCATTACACCCCTACATGCCACAAAGCAAATGCTTAGTACAAACAAATATCATTTTTCTATTTTCTGTTTCTGTTCATGTGAATACAGCATCACGCCCATCTTCACCCTGTCCAGTGTGTCTGGAGAGAGCCTGGACCTCCTGAAGGTTTTCCTGAACATCCTCCCTCCCCTGAGCAACAGCAAAGAACAGGAAGAACTGATGCAGCAGCTCACAGAGTTTCAGGTAAATTACCATATTTAACTTTGTACAGTAAAGTTAGTACAGTTGCTTTCTGCACTTCCTTCATCCATCCATCATCTTTACCCATGTTTTTATTTTTGGGTCATGGGGGTCACTGATGTCCAATGTTCCCTCTAATTTTTCATGTGTCTGGGCAAACACACAAGCTCCCTGAGCGCACTGAGGACCACTGTAAGCAACATCATATGTGCACGCTGTGGTCACACACACCAGTATCACACCTGTTCAAAATCTGGGATCATAGCAAGTTACATGGCTTATTAAAAAAATCAAATTACAGCAGCAATTTCCATTAGTTCACTTTGAATATAAGTTATTTGGACCACTTCAAATGAAAAAGACAATAATCTTGTTGTTCATGAGATGTGTAGTCTGTTAAATGTGAGAGTCCTGCTTTGGTCTGGGTGAGGGTCCAGTTGTGGCTTGGGTGAGGGTCCTGCTCTGGAAGATGGCTAGCAACACGGTGGCCATTGGTGTCAGAAGCATATTTGTAATATGGGAGGGGGGGGGGGGGGTCTGGGGGGGTCCTCCCCCAGAAAACTTTGAATAAAGTAGATGCCATTTCCTGCATTCTGGTGTATTTTAACAGGTTGTTTAACATCTAATTTTACCTACACAAGTAACACATGATTCAGTAGCTATTTCAGAGTTAATGGCACAACCAGACCTGCCTGACCAACAGCTCTCCTTGTGTGAATAGAGCACGCTTCGCTTCTCTCACACATCCTTATAAGTGTAGCCTAAGTGAAGAATTTACTTCCCCCTGAGGCACAGAGGCAGACGCTCTGTTCAACATCTTCTTGACTGTCTGGCTGACATCCGGGACTGGATGGCTCTTAACTTGTTAAGTTTCATTGAGAAGAAATCTGAAGTCATGTTGTTCCATTCCAATGGCTCTTTCATGAACCACTGCATCGACCTTTCCTCTCTAGCCCCGTTAAGAGAAACAAAGGGTCACTAATCTGGGAGTGATAATGGACCTTTCCTTGAAACATGAACAGTCACGTAAACATGATTGTTAAATCCTGTTTTTTTTCAGCTGAGGTGGCTGTCTAAGCTGAAGCCCATTTTATCCAAAAAGAATCTTGAGACAGTGATCCATGCGTTCATAACATCCAGGCTCGATGACTGCAATGTTTTTCTGTTTGGAATCAGTCAGTCCTCCATTGCACGTCTACAATTGGTCCAAAATGCTGCAGCCCGATTTTTAACTGGTACAGGCCATAGAGAGCACATTACACCAGTTCTGGCCTCCCTGCACTGGCTACTGGTTCACCTTCGGATCCAGTTCAAAATACTCCTGTATGTTTTTAAATCACTGAACAGTTCTGCCCCATCCTATCTCACTGATCTTCTGCAGCCATATGTCCTACCTTGCTCTCTGAGGTCAGCAGACCAGAGGCTCCTTTCAGTTCCAGAAACCTGTCGTAAGCTCAGAGGTGACAGGGCTTTCTCTGTTGCAGGTCCAAGACTTTGGAATGAGTTGCCACTGCGTGTCAGGCAGGCTCCCACTCTCACTGTTTTTAGGTCTCGCTTGAAAACCCATTTTTATTCCCTTGCCTTTGACACGGTGTGATTTGATTTGATCCTGTCTGTAGTCTACAGTGTTGGCCATTCAGTTATTATCTGCGGAGACAAACATTTAGCATTAACACAGTATTAACAACATTCAGGAATTGTTTCTATAAGAACATTATCAAATATTTTACATGAACAGTAAGATCACTCCGCCCACGAGGAACTGTAACCCAGGGTGAGCTAACCTCGGACAAACTAACAAACAAAGATAGCTGTAATGGTGGAGGTAGTGAAGCTCACGATGTTACCTGAAGCATTTAGTGAAGCATTTCTGTCTTCTCAGCCAAAATTAAGGCAAAGAAGAGGGAAAAAAAATCTAAGCTGCTAATAACTTAAAATGGTTCCTGCAGTAGATGTTTTCATGCTGCTGATCAGCACGGGGCAAGAACTCAGTCTAATTCAGTCTGTAAGAGTAAATTTTACATTGCAAAACCTATTAAACTTCTTTTTCTTCTTTTGGCTTTTCCCTCGAGTTGTCTCCACAGCGAGTCATCGTCCTCCATCTCTGTCCTCTGTGTCCTCTGTCCTCACTCCAACTACCTCCATGTCCTCTCTAACTGCATCCATATACCTCCTCGTTGTCTTCTTCCTGGCAGCTGCATTTCTAACATCCTTATACCATTATACCCACTGTCCCTCCCCTGGACAAGTCCAAACCACTGTCCCTCCTCTGGACATGTCCAAACCACTGTCCCTCTTCTGGACATGTCCAAACCATCTCAGTGTGTCCTCTCTAACTTCATCTCCCAGTTGTTCAACCTGTGCTGTACCTCTGATGATCTCATTCCTGATCTTCTCCATCCTTGTCTCTCCTAAGGAGAACCTCAACATCTTCATTTCTGACACTTCCAGTTCTGTCTCCTGTCTTTTTGTCCATGTCTCTGTCTCCAGACCATACAACATAGCTGGTCTCACCACTGCCTTCTAAACTTTTCCTTTGACCATCCAGATATACATCAAGCACTACTGTTTGCTAACACTTAGCATGATAAAAACGGCTACAAGTTGTAGGATTAACTTACTTACCGCCTTTGTTTGACGTCGTATGACTGTAAACTTCTCTGATAAATCCACGATGCCAAATATTATTCCTTGGTATGTGATGAAATATACAGTATAAAGCTTGGAAAAGCTAGAAGCCAAGCTTGCTGTAAATCCTTGTTGAGTGAAACCTGAGCCTGACGCTCCGCCTCCGGCATAATTCTTGTCCGGAAAAAATAATTATTCTCAGTGGCTTGTGTTTAAAGTTTTACTTAAAAATGAAACATGTACAGCAAAAAGTAAACAAAAACAACTTATCCACAAGTTGGTAATGAAACAGAAAAATAGCTAGGGAGGTCAAAAAACTGTTTGGCTTCACTCCCCAACTAGTCTGTCTGGACTTTCTCTCCTGACATGCCCCACCCACATCACATGACTTAAATAAACATGTTCCCAACCTCAAACCAACAAAGATCTACACATAAAACAAATAGCTTCAGTTAAATAATCTTTACAAAATTTAGTTTAGGCTCCTACATTACCGGCCCCTAATTGTTAACAGTATCTTTGGAACAATTACTTAAACTCTTATCTAAGATGCCTAAACTATTTTTAAAGAAAATCTATTCAAACAATGTGTCCCATCTTATAATGTCTGTAAAGCATTGACCTTTGAAAATATCTTCATTCATCTTCAGATTCTTGAAGAAGACACAGTTTTGTCACAGGGCGGCAAAGCTCGTTTGTCTTGGTCCTTAATTTAACTTGACGGATAAATCCTTTGCTGTCAGGAAACGTCTCCATTACCTTTCCAAGAGTCCAGAAATTTCTGGGTGAGATGTCATCAACAATGAGCACCACATCACCAACATGCAAGTTTCTTCTGGATGTGGACCATCGCCGTCGTTCTTGACATTGTGTGAGATATTCCTTACACCATCGTTTCCAGAAGACATCTGAAAGATACTGAATCTGTCTCCATCTGCGTTTAGCATACTGGTCATCTTTGTTGAACACTCCAGGTGGTAGATCAGGTTTGACTTTGAGTAGAAGCAGATGACTATGTGTTAACGCTTCTAAATCATTCAGATCTGAAGATGCTGTTGTTATGGGCCTAGTGTTCACGATTGCTTCAGCCTCACACAGCAAAGTATGGAGCCCATCTTCATCCAACATCTGCTCCTTAACAGTGGTGTTCAGAATCTTTCTCACTGAGCGAATCAAACGCTCCCAACTTCCTCCAAAGTGGGAACCTGCTGGAGGATTAAAGTACCACTGGACACCTTTTTGCTGCAGTGTCTTCATGATTTTGCTTGTGTTCCATTCACTAATAGATTTCTTCAACTCCAAATCAGCTGATTGAAAGTTTGTTCCATTGTCAGAATACATTTCTTTAACTTGTCCTCTTCTGGCTCATAGCATTGAGGCATGCATCTGTGTCGAGTGTTGGTGCAACTTCTAGATGTACTGCTCGTATGGTGAGACATGTAAAAATAACACCATATCTTTTTATCTGTCCTTTTCCCCTTTTCACCATGAATTGACCAAAATAATCAACACCGACTCTTGTGAATGGTGGATCATCAGGCTGGACCCGACATTTTGGCAGGTCTGCCATGAGTTGATTGCCTGGTGTACTATGCAATCTTCTGCATGTGATACACTTGGATAAAAACCTTCTGATGACTCCGTTTGCTCCAGGGATCCAGAATCTCTGACATAATTCAGCCAACATGTGATTCCTTCCTGCATGACCTGTCATGTTATGAATGTCTTCTAGGACAAGTCTAGTGATGTAGGAATCCTTCGGCAGAATGACTTGCTGCTTAGAATCATATGGCCAAGCTGCTCGTCTCAGCCTTCCTCCAACACGAATGACTCCATCTTGCAAAACTGGATTAAGCTTGTATAGTGAGCTGCACTTTTTCACCTTGTGATGTTCCTTCAGCATCACTAAGTCCTCATTAAACTCCTTTCTTTGGTAGTACTTCACAATTTCTGCCTCTGCCTTCTTTAAATCTTCACAGGTTAATTGTCCTTCCTTGCCAGTCCTCTTGAGAGTTTGAACTTTCCCTTCTTTTTTATCAGATCCACTTAGTTGTTTACAGCTAGCTGTCAGCTCTCTGAGAAGATCTTTCAATTTCAGAAACCATGCAACAGCACGTTGTAACTTCATCCAGGAAGAGAAGTGTTTCATCAGCTGATCTGTTGCATCCTGTTGTACTTGAACCACAGTCACATGTGCTGAAGTGATTCTTTTGACCTCTGGGTCGTCAAAGTCAACCATCATAGGATCTGGGTTCTTGGGCCACTGATCTTGAGGGCTGTGTAAAAATTCTGGTCCTGATAGCCAGTTTTTGGATTTCAAAAACACTTCAACACTCTCCTCTGGAGACGTGATCAGCTGGGTTAAGAGTGGTATT